ATGGAATACATTTTAAAAGTAACCTTCCCAACACTGGCCGTGACACACTCATTAAGAAGCTCTAATGCCTGTGGCTCAATCTCACGGCAATTGTCACCCCTACTTGCGGCCCGCATAATGACGTGAAGAAATATTTTGTGTGTTTTTTTTCAGAAACAATAAGTTCTGTTGGAGCAGCCTTTCAATGTCTCTCTCTGTCTCTCACTTGCAAAGTTGACCCAGACAACAAAGTAAAGCTAGTTTTTGGCTTTGAGCCAAGTATTAGCCAGAGGTCCCTTTACTACGGTTAGGAGCCGCGGACCTGTTTTATAGACACACTGAATAGTTTTCTATACAAGATCGCTGCAAAAAGTGCAGCCTTTTTTAATGTCCGCCCTACTGTTACTCATTTTATATTAAGATTTAAACATCTAGTTGGTATTGGTAGTGCCTTCAGTAGCCTTCAGTAATAGTAATAAATCACACAGCATCATGTTGTAAAATATTAAGTAATCCGAAGTATTCAGAATATGTTACTCTCATTGAGTAACATAACAGAATGTGTTACAAAATACATTTTGGGGCATTTATTCTGTAATCTGTAGTGAAAAACATTTTCAAAGTAAAAGTAACCTTCCCAACACTGGTAGTAGATCACCGTGTGATTGCTACATCACAATAATTTCCCTCACTTAGTAAATCTGTCCCATAACATCTAAAAGTTCATTTATTTACCTGCTGTGTAATTCCCATCTGTGGTAAAAATTTCCTCATCCATCACTTATCCCAGCTGATGTGTATAGTAATTTTTGATAATCCTCAAACTGCAATATAAAAAAAGACATAACTAATGAACACTGACTATACAGAATCTTAAGCACATTTTTATCAGTTAATATAGATGATAATCTTGAGCTTATATAGTTCCGCATTCTGCATGCAGCAGCAACTCAACAGAAAGTCATTTTTCTTCCAGTAATGTTACGTTTAGAGTTCAGCTGTGCATTTAACAAACTACAAATATATCAGCAGGTAATAGCACAAAACAGAAAATACAGTAGAGAGGATGGCCCAGTGTGTCCGATGCTAAAGGAAACAATAAAGGAAGCATTAGTATTTGGAGAAATGCCACACAGATAATTCCAGATCTCATGTCTCAGTGTGAAACTTTCCTGAGCAAAATTGATTACTGGAATGCACCTAAGGTGTAACACAAAAACATAGTTATGGACATCTGTGGTTTGATTTCTTTGTATGTGTAGATTTAGATGGCTTGTTACCGACATCTGATGAGAATTTTCATGTCAGTAGCACCTGTAGAAATATATTTACTTAGAAAACTGGTGGCGGCTGCAATACTTATTTTACATGTTGTATTATATACTACTGTATAGTGACTACTGGTAAATCTGCTTTCTAGGGGTGTCGAGCTGTTCTGATTATTGAGAAGAAGAAACTATCGTTTAATTTGGGGGAAAAAAAACAAAACAAAACAAAAGAATACAAAGAAAGCCCAGATGCCCCAGTTTTCAATTTGGGACTTGAAAGACTAATATTTGTGAATTTGGGCTAAGCATGAAATTTGACATTTCTCTGGAAACCCCACATGGGCATGTGACGTGATCTGTGTTTATCAGGTGAGTTTGTACATGGTTCTGTAAATGAGCCAAAGTCAAGAATATTTTTAGTTATTGGTGTGAACAGGAAGCCTTTTGAAAGCGTTTATGATCAGATTTCATGAAACTTAAAAAAAAATGTGTGTAAATAATCACTGTTTATTAACATTTGGATATACGCATTTGCAAAACGGTTTTACGGTTGTGGAAATTGTTTTGTATTTGTGGATTGGAGCACACATTTGTGAGTCCTCAGATGTTACACACCCATAACTGTACACATTTGTAAATCTTAGTTCAC